CAAATACATGAATTATACATACACACTTTATTTTAATAAAATACATTTAGTCTTTCTAACGTGTCATGTAAATTTGAAATCATTAAGGTTTGCAATATCAAAGATGTGAAGGCAACTTGATTGAAACACTCAGGGAATACAGTAGGACAGGCATCAGCAGATTCTAAGCGACAGTAGAACGTGTTCAGCTCGTTTGGCAGAGCTTGGCCGACAGATGCAATTTTCCCAGCGCTAGGTTTCCACGATGTGATGGCTTTAATACCGTTCCACATGCGCCGAGGGTCATCTTCCTCAAAATAACTCTTTAACCTGTCCCCGTAACTGCGCTTTGCAGATTTAATAGAGCGTTTCAATGAGTAACAGGATAGCTTATAAGCAACTGTATCATTTGATTGAAACGCCAACGCACGGTCATGAAGTTTCAGTTTCACTTCCGCGTTCATCCAAGGGTTTTGACTAAAATGTTCTTTAATGACCTTCTGTGGGACACAGCAGTCAATACAGAAGCGCATGTATCCAGACACAGCGTCACAGAATTCATTGACGTCCTCTGACTGAAACACAGACCAGTCCGTAGCATCAAAACAACCTTGTAGCTTCATGCTAGCCTCCTCAGACCAACACTGCACAGTGTGAGAGGTTGGTTTATGTTCCCTGCGCCTCTGAGTATATGAGGGAAGAAGGAGAACAGAGGAGTGGTAAGACTTTCCAAAAGGAGGTCTGAGACTGGACCTGTAAGCTCCCTTCACGTTACTGTAGCAGTGATCCAGAACATGTGCTCCTCTTGTAGCTCGAGTCACATGTTGGTAAAAGTTCGGGAGTACAGTCTTTAAATTACATTTATTGAAATCCCCAGCAACAATGATGACTGCGTTAGGATGAGCAGACTCATGTTTGTGAAGGATCTCGCTCAGATCCTGTAGGGCTACTTTGTAATCCGCACGTGGGTGAATGTAAACAGCACATAAAAATATCACTGAAAACTCACGGGGAAGATAAAAAAGGCGGCAACTCAAGACCAGGCATTCCAGATTGGCAGTACATGTTTGGTTCACGATACGAGTGTCCGAGCACCAGCGCTGATTAATTAAAAAGCACACACCTCCGCCTCTGGCCTTGCCCGTGGTCTCCTTCACTCTGTCCGCACGGTGAGCGGTGAATCCCGGGGGCTGAACAGCAGAGTCCGGGACGTTCGAGTGGAGCCACGTCTAGCTGAACACAGCGGAGTCCCGGGCCTCGCGCTGGCTCTGGACCCGACACAGGAGCTCGTCCGTCTTGTTGGGCAGACACTGGACGTTGGCCAGGTAAGATGGAAGGCAAAGGGGTCCTGGAGGAGCGGCTACGAACGAGCAGACCGCCTCGCCTTCCCCGGTGTCTGCGCCTCCTTCGCCGACTCGAGGTGCCCAGCTCCACACCGCGGAGAGAACGCCGGAGACGCCCAGTCCCCTCGCTCTGTTGGCGGCCACCGCTGCGGCCCGCCTGCCGTGCTCCACCAGCCTCTCGAGTGGGACACTCGAGGAAGTTTGTGCACCTCAGTTCAGGTAAAACGAGTGACCGTCACACGCGTGGTCCCGAATGTACAAAAGTATTTGCCGATCATATTTCACTGTGGCAAGTGAATCCCAGACGAAAAACAACAAAACACAGATTGTGTTCACTGCGGCGCCCTGACACGGCGCCCTGACACGGCGCCATCTTGCTAGTCCTCATGCTCTCTCTCTCTCTCATGCTAAAAACTTATCCACTACACTTATCCAAGTTGGTGGAATTGGAAAGAATGTGCTGGACCATTGATAAAAGACTTACAAAGAATACTTAAAACACAGTCTTGTTCGCAAAACTTAAAAAGATGCATGCAAAATGTTGCCTCAATTTTATTAAGTTTTGCCAATGCATTTTTTTTTTTGAGATTGCCGCGAGTCACACTTACTGGGTTCTGTCCCACATACAGCGTCTGGGCTTTGTGGTGAACAGAGAGAAGAGCAGGCTGCAGGACGGGGTGCCCCTGGTCGGTACCGTATAACACGTGGAGGTGTTCACGGACGCCTCGCTTGAAGGGTGTGGAGGGGTTCTAGGCCAGAGCTCCGTAGGCAGCTCCTGGTCAGACCCAACTCGCCACATCAACCTGCTGGAGATGGAGGCAGTGTGCAGGGTGCTGCTGCACTTTGCCCCACAGCTGGGGGGGAAGCACGTGATGGTGCGTTCGGTTCGGTTGCTTCACTCACGCCCGGTATTGGGCCACATACTCTGGGTCTGGAGGCTGAGAGGCAGAACCTAGTAGACCTGGGTCTCCCCCCGTCGGTGGTGGAGACCATTCAGGGCGCGAGGGCTCCTTCCATGATCAGAGCCTACGGCTGCAGGTGGAAGGTTTTCAGTGTCTGGTGGTGCGCAGAGCGTTCCTGGGACCCCGTGTCCTGCCCTCTGGAGGGGGTCCTGAGGTTCCTGCAAGAGCTGCTCAAAAAAGGGAGGGCTGCTGGTACCCTGGCGGTGTTTGCGGCAGCCATTGCCTCGGGTCACGGTGGGTTCGGGGGTTTTCAGCCCGCTCCTACCCGTAGCAGTCCTCTCTGCACCGAGCCACCACGGACCCCTCTGCGGGTGGTGAGCCCACAGGAGGGACTGCCCACATCATCCCTTCGGGCTGAGCCCGGCCGGGCCCGAAAGTGAGCGCACGGGGCTCGGCCGGGCTCCAGGGTGGGGCCCTGGCTGTGCCATGCCGGGCGACGTCACTGTTTTTGTTCTAGTGCTGTCCATAGTTGGCTTCGGACTGCGCTTCGTCTGACTCGTCACCCGAGACCTGTCTGCCATGGGAGACCCTACCAGGGGCATGAAGCCCCAGACAGCATAGCTCCCAGGATCATCCGAGTACTCAAACTTCCCTACCACTTTAAGGTGGCAGTCCAGGGGGACTGCCACCTTAACGTTTACCACCTTATTGTTATTATATCAAATGAAAGGGGGGGTTAATCTGGCCTATGGGGGGTTAAACTAGCGTAGGCCATTTTATACCCCGGGGTATATTCTGGCCCAGGCTATTTTAACCCCGGGTTGTAATCTGGCCTAGGCTACTTTATACCCGGGTATATTCTGGCAGGGGGTTAAACTGGCCTGCTACACCGGCTTTTCTCCCTAAAGTCGTTACTTCGACCTTTAGGTCTAGGGTAATCAGGATTAGACCCTTTTATCCGCCGCATCATGCTTCGGAGGAGAAGGAGCGGCGGCATCTTTTGTGCCCGATCAGAATGCTGAGACGCTACCTGGACATTACGTCCTCTTTCAGGCTTTCTGATAAGCTGTTTATGTGTTTGGGCCCTAAGAACAGGGGCGCCCCGCTAACATCTCAGCACTTGGCGCACTGGGTTGCCCGGGCGGTTCGTATGGCGTACCAGGCACAGGGACTGGCCCCCCCGGTGGGGTTCAGGGCGCACTCCACTTGGGAGGTTGCGGCCTCCATGGCTCTGCTCCGGGGGGCCTCGGTGGAAGACGTCTGTCAGGCTGCATCCTGGGCTTCTTCTTCTTCCTTTGCCCAGTCATACCTTTTTGACATATCAGAACGGTCGGTCGCACACTCCGTTCTGAACGCTGGGAATTGAGGTGGACTGTGAGGTGCTCTTGGTAGAGGCAGCCTGCGGTCTGGTGTTGTGTGTGGCCGCCCCATTCGGGAGCTCTTGGTAGAGGCGTCCTGGGGTTGCGGGCTGCCCTTGGTTCCCCGAGGGCGGCTTGTTGCTGTCCCCTTCAGGAGCTCTTGGTAGAGGCGTCCTGGGGCTGCGGCCTGCCCTTGGTCCTCGGGGGCGGGATGTGTTGCCGTTCCTTCAGGAGCTCTTGATAGAGGCGTCCTGGGAATACGGCCTGCCCTTGCCCATAGGGGAGGTGTTTACGGTGTTCTAGGGCGTCCTTGATAGGAGCAGCCCTTTAACTCTGTGGTTTCCTTCTTGCCCTTGGAAGGGGTTTTCAGTGTTCGTCAGACGTCCTTGATAGGAGCGGCCCTGTAACACTGCTTATACTTCCTTTTTCCTGCCCTGAGCCCACTCACCTTGGTGGTATTGGGGGAACCTCAGGCAGGGCTCCACTTACCCATAGCGTAGCCCTAAGGGGCGTAGCACCATGACGTAGAATTATTAGTTACCTAATGTAACTGTAGTTATATGAATAGGTGCGTAGCCCCTTAGCTATGGGCCCATCAAAGTGGCAGGTGCAGGCCTGAGCAGGGCTATTTATAGGAGGAGCTCGCTTGTGATTGGAGCGTTGGATCTCCGATCTCTCTGGCGGAGGCTAGGCGCCTCAGGAGTCTACCCATAGCGTCTACCTATTTGTAGAACTACAGATACATTAGGTAACTAATAATTACTGTGGAAAAGGGCTATATGACTGGAGCGCCAGTACTCACCCTCTCTCCACGGAGAGACACTCTTACAACACCATACTACATAAATAGGTGTGAATTATTTTTTGTTAGTTACTTTTCTGAATGGTGTGGTATTTGTATTTCCACAAACAATCAGGTTGTAAACCTGACAAAATATGCAAAAGTTCAAAGTGTATTAATACTTTTGAGAGGCACTGTATTAGTTTTACACTACACTCCACACTCTTTCCTCTCCACACATTCTCCATTTCATCTGGGGAGATGAGATTGTAAGACTTTCCCAGGCCAGCTGAGTTGTTTGATCTCCTCCTAAGGCATCATTGTTCAGGTGGAGGGAGGTGATGGGTGAGGAGTTGTTTGAGAAGTAGCGTCAGGGGAGGGATGGCAGGTTTTGGGAACGACTTCAAATAGACTGTATAACAGGTTTAGCTGATCAGTGGGATTGTGGTCGCCAGTACAGTGGGGGGATATGGGATGGTAATTGGTGATTTTCCTCAACCCCTTCCAAAGAGACGCAGGGTCGTTGTCTGAAGAGTGCCTCAGAAGATGCTCTGTGCTTTGATTTAGCTTTTTCAGTTCAGTATTTTGCAGATTGGTAGCAGATTTGTAAATGCAGTGTGTGATGGTGTGCCCCCAGGACCAGGCGGGAGGCTGTGGGACATGTGGACGTCCTCTAGCAGACGAGATGGCCGACTTTGCGCTGGAGTCCCAGGGTAAGATTGCAGCTCTTGGTTTGGGCAGGGAATTGTACATGAATTGTGCTATACAAATAAACTTGTCCTGGCCTTGACCACCAATCCTGCGTATGCATATGTGCAGGGGCCAGTGTGGTCAGCACTCGTTGCTCGGAGACGTACCACACACGCTCTGCCTGTGTGTCCCTGTTTGGTGTGCCACTGTGGTACCCCTCTGAGAGCCCGCGCACCGTCATCCAGGTATGTACACTCACCATGGGACTACAACAGTGTATACTGGAGAATGTCTACTCAATTGTTAAAACTAGAATTCATGTCATTATCATGTTGTATTAAGTATCAAGGATAGATGCATTTGCCTAGAATAAGAATGCAACTAGCCTGCGAATCTGCCCCTCCGATCAACTACAATTATTTATGCTCATGGGTCAGAGAAGCCCCTCTGAAAGTGGACATCGAGTGACAGGTTTTTTTAAAATGTGGACTACTTATTTGTTCACGGAGGTGAATGAAAAACCAGTGTGCTTGGTATGCATGCAACAAGTGGCGGTGCTGAAGGAATGTAATCTTAAACGCCACTACGAGACTCAGTATAGCAAAAAATACAGCATCTTGAGCGAAGAATCAAGAAGTAGTAATTTCTCCAGTAAGGGCCTGCTCTTTTTGTGGCACCGGCACCTGCCACAGCTGATCAGTGACATGTACACATCAAATTGCATTTAAAATAGCATGTGGGCAACAAACGGCGTGTAAAGCGGCATGTGTACAGCTAATGGCGTTTAATACGGCATGTGGGCAACAAATGGTGTTTAAAACGTTACTGTCATGGAGTGAGATGATGGAGGACTCAAACGCAAGAATGCAAAAATAAAATAAAGTCCAAGGCATAAAAATAAACTCCAAAATCCAAAGAAACCAGGAACAGGACATGAACAAGACAATGAACCAGCAACAAGGGGAGAGAAGCACAGGGTACATATAGACACACACAGACACAGGTGAAACACATCAGGGCGGGGCAGACAATCAACAGGGAACAGGGCATGAAGCAACTGTCAAAATAAAACCAAATACAAAAATAAAATCCACACCATGACAGTTACGTCATTTCTGGGACCTACTGTCACCACTCTTCATTCGCACTGTACACAATATAAAAAACTGATCATACCTCCCACCACACATGAACACATCTTTCTAAAGCCAAAGAAAGACCCCACCCAACCCACCAGCGACAGACCCCTCTCCTTACTCAAACTGATCTAAAAATTATCACTAAAGCACTAGCCCACAGATTAGAACAAGTCACTCCGCTTCTCATCCATCCAGACCAAAAATGCTTCATATAAAACAGAAACTCTTCAAACAATCTCCGTAGACTATTCAACGTCATTAACCTCTCACAGCACTCAAATACAGACGGCATTATAACATTACTAGACGCAGAAAAATCCTTGGCAGTGAGAGCTTGTTGTCTCAAAACCTGTTCTCACTTTTTATCAATGACTTTGCTCTGGAAATAAAACAATTGAACATGGGTGTCCGTATAGAATCTGACACAGAAGCCATTTTGCTTTATGCTGATGATGTTGCACTCATGGCTGAAACAGAAGAGGACTTGCAGACAATGTTAAACATGTTACAAGACTAGTGTTATAAATGGAAACTTTCCATAAATGAAACTAAAACTCAGGTTGTTCATTTCAGGAGGAAGTCAATTCCGTTAAGCAGAAATGTTCTCAAGCTCGGTAACATAGTACTGGACTTTGTCCCAGAGTATAAGTACCTGGGTTTCACATTCAGTGAGTTTTGATTGTGGAGTCAAAGTTCTTGCTGACTCTGCCAGCCGTGCTATAGGTTCTGTGATAAACAAATAAAGTATGTAAAGATATTGGTTATAGAACCTAATCTAGGTTGTATGAGGCCTGTTCTAAACTAAACCATGCTGCTGGTGTTTGGGGGGGCAGACAGTGTTCAGCCTTAGATGCTGTAGAAAACAGGTTTGTGTAAGCTCTCAGTCGTACAGGGTTTAGTCAAAGCAAAGGAAGGTTTCTCACCCATCATCTGTACTTGCACAGGATTTCCCAGCGTTTCGTCATTCATCTAAAGAACTTCTTCAGGGAATGAAATCTCAGACCGCGCGTTGTAGAAAACAGAGCAATCCGCTTCTTTTTGGGAATTCACAAGTTTGTTCCTGTTATAGCAGCGCGTCCAAAAAAAATGTGACATGGTTAGATTGGGGAATCGAATCATTAATATGCCAGACAACAGATTAACAAAAAAGGTCCTTAAGTGGAGCAAAGCCATGTCACCCTGGGCTTTAGGAACGGGGAGGTTTTCACAGACCCCTGAGGAGAAGAGACTGTGTGTATTTTCTGAACTCAATGAAGTGGAAAGTGGAGTGCAATTTTTGTTATATTGTCCCTTTTTTGATGAATTTAGAAACGCGTTGTTTCATAAAACGTTCTCCCGGGATCCTGATTTGTTTTGGGGCAGTGATGTAAAATAAATAAAATAAACACTATAATTACAAAATTATCTATCTATCTATCTATCTATTGTGTAAAGCCAGCCAAGTGGGGGCTCCCTGATACTATCAACAATGCTTCAGAATGCTGTGACTGGATTTTAGCCACCGCCTCCTGAATGACGTCACACACAGTTTCCGGCTCAGCACGAGGAGGAATGTTAACAATTCTAGTGACGATGTGAGAGAACTCCCGTGAAAGATAGTAGGGCCGAATGCCGACCACTAGCTGTTCAATATCCCAACAAAGCTCTCCTGTTTCAAGGTTATGTGACTGGGATGGCCCCATTTGTTGTTGAGAAGCATCGGGTATGTTGTCATGTAGCCACGATTCAGATAGGTGATAAAGGCTCACACTTCATCAAAGTTTCAAGTTCCTCTGACTTATTTTGAAGGGAGTTAACACACACAATTATTATTGATGGCATGAACAGTTTGTACCGGTACCTCCGGTTTTCTTTCCTCTGAAGGGCTTCTTGATCTCCAGAGGGATCGGATGCTTAACCCCACCAATGATTTGTCAAAGGAGCTCATTTCCCGAGTACTTAAACATGCACATTTTGCCAATAAACATGGGCTTGCTGCCACGTGGTTAGCGCAGTTCTTTCAACTCATTGCCTGCCAGCCTATTTCAGAACAGGTACTCCCATATTGCCAGCAGTTTCTGATGACCCACAGAATATTGCGTACTATGAAAATCTGATTCTGAAAGAATGGACGGTCTACTTTCATCAGCAAAAAGAGTTTTGTTTCAAGCTTTTTTCGCTCCACTGTAATCCCCAGTCGAGTAGAGGGAAGTTTTACTGAAATCCCCAGTCTCAGACAAAAAGCTGAGAAAAAGAGGCGCAAAAAGAGCATCCGGTTTTCAAAGCATACAGAGGCAGTGCTGGTGCCACCTGCAGGCTCGATAAAATATTCTTACTTATTCTTCTTACTCTCTCCTGCAGTGTAGCTGGCGATAAGCTTCTTATCCTCTGGTTGATGCAGAGAGTGACTGTTAACGCTGGTTCAGCCACGGTTTCTCCTTCGATGATAAATGGACACTAAAACTTCTGCTTAGATATATAAAAAGGTTTAATATATAAAAGACAGAATACAGGATACAGGATACAGACAAATGTAGCAGACTGGTGCTCCAATCTGGGCCCTCTCTCTGGCAAGCCAAAGCAAAAAGACACTGCTTCAGGAACAGGCTATCGGTGATAAGCACACAGTCACATGACCATGATAATTGAAGACATATGTCTCAACATCCTTAGGTGAGACAATACCTTCTCTGTTTAGGACACACAAATAGCCCCTGTGTGAGTAGCTGGAGGCTACTCTAAACAGATGTTCTCTGCGCTCTTCTTAATTTAACTTCCTGTGCTTAATGACTGGGGGATGGCTTCACACATTCTTCACTCTGCAGACTAGCTACTACTAGTCCCTTACTAGACTAACCGTTACATTTATTAATATGATAATAACACAATAACATACTCCATTGACAGTGACCATTTTCAAATCCCTGGAAAAACTGAAAAAATTGAATACTTTGTGCGCAAGTGCATTTACGCTTGATCTGATTGTTTCGGACCATGCGGCCTCTTTGCTCTGGATCAGTGTATAACAATACACGCTGTACTGAAATAAAATTAATCTACATCGAGAATCAATAAGGATTGTAATGCATAAGATCTTCAGAGCTGCTTGGACTTTCTGCTCATAACAATACCTACTATTAATGTAATCATCTTAATTGTTGTCGAAGCATTTTGTTCCTATATGCACTGCACTGTTCCTACAGTTTGTATTGAAAACTTGTGAAGACTTACAATCAAACAATGTTGTAATGTGGTATGGAGAATAGAAAGCTATGGCCTATATAGTTTTCAACAGTGGTTAAAAACTTAATAAGGTCATTTATAAAGTTGACCATAGTAAATGACCTTCCTTTGAAGTCACAGCTTAACTGTATTTGTGCAGGGTCCAGCCATACTGCTGCCGGGGAAGTGCTGGGCGTTCCATGGAGTTCAGGGCACTCTGGTCATTGCTCTGTCTCATCCAATTACCATCAGCCATGTTAGCCTTGACCACCTGCCCCGACACAGCTCCCCCAACGGCCGAATTGACTCAGCACCCAAGGACTTCCAAGTCTATGTGAGTACTGCACAACACAGCAAAAGTGTTTTAGATGACAACATTATGTGTCCTTTGTGTCCAGGGCATGAGCAATGAGACAGAGGCGGGGACATTACTTGGGACCTTCATGTACAAAGAGGATGGGGAGCCCACACAGACCTTCAGCCTCTCTGTGAGTACTGATCAGGCATTTCACATCAAGCAAAACCCCAGGGCAACTGCTCCTTTCAGACTGAGCCACTCAGGTTGCTGTGTCATAAGGACTCGGCTGTCAACCCTCCTCCAGACTTTCCACCACACTTTCTGCTCCCTGCCGTTGGTTTGTATATCTTTTGTAGTAATCAAAGTATTTGTACTTGCATAAAGTTCTTCAACACAATTGCAGCTCATCTACAAGTCGAATTTGCGCCAGATTGAACCAGTACTTCCTAATCGGAATCGATCATGTTAGTAATTCTGTCATGAAAGAATATGAACTTAGAGTGAAAGCACATGTCCACAAGCACTGCATACCCCATTGTTTGTCCTGGTATAATCTTGCTTTTTCTCTTATTGTAGCTGTTTTCAAGAATCGTAATCTTAGCTCAGAGCAGCTTCTGAGCTAAGATTACATGCAATGAGTCGCCGCACTCAACACACCTGTCACACTGCAAAAACTCACCTGCTGCACTGCACTGTGTTTTTGCAATAATGCAGGTGTGTTTTTGCAGTGCTGCAGGTGTGTTTTTTCACTGCTGTAGGTGTGTTTTTGAAGTACGGCAGTTGTGTTTTTGCAGTGTGGGAGGTGTGTTTTTATAACACCTGCAGCACTGCATAAGCACACACTGCAAAATTTCACTTGTAGCACTGAAAAAATATGCACTGCAAAAACACTAGCCTGGTCGTACATAGTACAGATGACATTTTGTGCTAAGGTCTGGACGTGCTCCATTGAGCTCCGTTTACAGGTGGGAGGGGTTAACTCCTTTTGCAGATTGAAACGATTGGATCTGAGTTTACCGTGACGTATGTAATGCGCCCGGGTGAGTTATTAGCATTTAGCATTTAGCCTAGCCATCTCCTTTGCCGCTAACGAAGCCCGTGGGGAGTAGCGCCACAATTTCTTCTAGCGATTACATTTGCTAAACATTCCTATTGCTCTGGCATCAATTTCTTGATAGAACCAGACCGGATAACTTTACTATCGCATTTTTCGCCACTGCCAAAGTACAACCATCCCATTCGACGCAAACTCTTGACGTCACCCACAAATAAATACAACACTCTCCTTCCGCGCTCTCTGGTTGGTCGATCGAAATTCAACCGTTTGTAATTGCTAACCCAGGGACCAGACCCAGACATTACATGCAGTGAAATGATGATTGAACGGAGTGTACGGATGGCTAAGGCCAGGCTACAAAAACACACTTGTCACTCTGAAAAAAGACACCTCCTGCAGAATTTGTGTTATATCCATTCACTATAAATAAATACAGATATCAAGGCAGAAATTTGGCTGTAAATGGCCGAAATAATATACGAATTATAGCAACATTTATTTCAGACTCCAATGAAAAGCGGGGGTGACAGTTGCTCAGCTGGTCTTTGGCCTTTGGGCCTGAAGGTTGTAGGTTCGAACCCACCATGGGACCTACTCCAACTGCTCCCACTAATGTCTGCTGTCGTTGTGTCCTTGGGCAAGACACTTAACCCCACATTGCCTGAAGCTCCCGCTGAAACACCAAGGCTGTGGCACCACTGATGTAGCAGCCATCTTCCTGTGGACTCACCACCTGCAGAGGATCAGCGAGGGGCCGGTGCTTTGAGCATTGGGTGGCAGCTCTCATTGGGCCTTATGTATAAAAGTTGCGTAGAAAAGGGTGTATATTTTGGGTGTATATTACATTTACGCAAGATCCGACGTGGCATTTATGAACGTGTGAGATACGCACAGATCTGAGCGTACGCACCTGCGGCTGTTGATAAATGCCGCGCTCGAAACAAGCGTATTTGTGAAAGTCACGCCTATAAATATTCAGAAACTGCCTGTTCCACGCCCTGTTTTTGGCTAAGAAGCCGCAAAAAGCATGCACTTTTGAGTTTATTCACGTAAAAAAAAAAACAAAAAAAAACGCTATATTATATGTACACTTTTTTCCCTAGTGTCTCTAGACCCTCTGCAGCACTCATCTCTCCTGACATTTCGACGTAAATAAATAAATAATAAATGACCTGAATGAATGAATGAACTATACTGCTGGTGTGCGTCGCATCCTACCTTTGCTCTGCGGAGTAAAGGGCAGTGGCTGAGACAGTTTTGAGCAAGATCAGGTGCATTTATGGGGCTTTATGCACAAAACTAAGGAAAACCCACATTGCTTTGCCAGAGGTGAATGAGGCAAAACATATGCGTAATTACGTGTACGGCGCAGGGTCTGCCACAGGTTGTTCATGCATATGTAAAAATAAATATATACGCTATATAGGGGTGTTGAAAAATATCGATACGGAGATATATCGCGATATTACGTCGCGCGATTCTCGTATCGATCCATAATGCAAAATATCGATATTTATACATACATTTTTGGCCGAAATTGTCAATGCAAAGGCGTACTTTTGTCCTGCGCTTGCACTCCCGTTCACTAGTTGGCAGCGCACGGCCCAGCCCGCCAAAGAAACAATAGTATCTCGCGAGAGTTGTCTTGGAATCAATACAGTCCGCTATAGTCTCGCGGTGTTTAGAGCACACAGTAAAACTCTCAACATGGCGGAGAGGGAACTGCGAGATGCTCCGAGGCACATTTACAAAGCTGAAATTTGGACTCACTTTGGTTTTTACATCAACGACGGACGCTCAGATTTGGATAAAAGCTACGCCATATGCAAAAGGTACCATGCGAAAGTCAAGCACAGCGGGAACACCACGAACCTGCGTGCACATTTTGCAAGACATCACGAACAAGTGGAGGTAAACGGAAAACAAGCTACCTCATCACAACTAACTCTTGAACAAGCTAATTTAGTCAAGCTGCCTTCAAGCTCACAGCGTGCCACTAAAATAACACACTCCGTGGCTTACTACATGTGCAAAGACATGCGTCCTCTGAGCTCCGTGGAATGCGAAGGCTTTCGTTATATGATGAACACTCTGGAGCCCCGTTACAGCATACCATCCCGCCAACACTTCACCGATGTTGCTTTGCCCCGTTTATACAAAGAAGTGCAAGACACTGTGCTAAATGACCTTCGTTTTGCCGAGCGAGTTGCATTAACATGTGATGCCTGGACATCCAGGTCCACAGAATCCTACGTAACAATAACAGCGCACTACATCGACGGAGACTGGAACATGCATTCTCACATCTTGCAAACGCGACCAATGTATGACAGCCACACTGGAGAGAATATTGCGGCTTTACTGCGTGAAGCTGTAGACGAATGGGGCCTGAGTGCGAAAAAACCCGTGATAGTCACTGATAATGCTCCGAACATGACTGTGGCGGCTCGACTGGCAGAGATGACCCACATTCAGTGTTTTGCACACAGCCTTAACCTCGCGTCACAGAAAGCACTCAAACTACCAGCAGTGGCAAGGCTGCTGGGGAGAATTAGACGTGTTACTGGATTCTTCAGACGCAGTACAACAGCAAGCCACCAACTACAGCTCAAACAAGTCCAACTGGAGCTACCAAAGCATAGATTGATTACAGATGTTGTCACTCGATGGAATAGCTCCTATGACATGAATGAGAGGTTTTTAGAGCAGCAACCTGCTGTCTGTGCAGCACTCTATTCCAATGAAGTGCGAAAGAATGAAAATGAAGTATTCACACTGACTGAGACTGACATCACATGTGCAGAGGAGGTACTCAAAGCATTCAAACCAATGAAAGATGCTACATTAGTGATGTCTGAGGAGAGCATGCCAACCCTGTCTGTGATTGCCCCACTTCATGTCAAGCTGATTATGGGAACAGAGGAAAACCCAGAGGAGTCAGATACAGTTAGGGGCATAAAGGCGGCTATAGCACAAGATCTGTATAAAAGATATGCCAATCAGAAGGAGACCCTGTACATGGCATCTGCAGTTGACCCGCGGTTTAAGAGTGTACCTTCCTGTCTGAAGACGACACTGCCCACATCTTCTCCCGACTGACTGAGGCTGTGGTAGCAGAAATGCAAAAGCGCAGTGTAAGTAAATGAAAGCTAAACTTGCATGTTTACAGTTATAACTGTGCATGTTAGTGTATTTCATAAATACAGTATTTATAAATATTAAATAATTAAAAGATTTACATTGCATGTATACTGTGAATAAAATCTTGTTTAATATTTTTCAGCCAGTTGAATGTGAGGAGGAGGATAAAGATGCACCTGGTCCCTCATCAGATCCTGCAACCAAGATGCCACCCCTGAAGAAACCCAGAGCATCATGTGCTTTAGCTGATCTTCTTGGTTCCACATTCACCCTTCTCAAAAATGACACTGAAACAAAAACTGATGTAGAAGCTGCAGAAGATGAGGTGAAGATGTTCAGGATGTAGTCCTCTTTGCCCCTGAATGGTGATCCTCTCACTTGGTGGAGAGAACACAAAGGAGCCTATCCTCATATTTCCTCTGTAGCTCGTCGATTCCTCTGCATCCCAGGCACAAGCGTCTCTGCGGAGCGAGTCTTTTCCACTGCAGGAGACATTGTAACTGCACAAAGAAGTGCGCTGAAACCTGGGCATGTTGACCAGCTTGTGTTTCTTCAAAAAAATCTTAAAAGAAAGCAGTAATAACTTTCTGCATTTATTTGTTCTTGGGATATACCTCATTTAAGTTGCACTAAAGCCATGTTGCACTAAAGCCATTTTGCACTAAAGCCATGTTGCACTAAAGTTGTTTAAAAAGCCACAGGCAGATTGTGTCATTTTATTTTGTTCTTGGCACATGGCATGTTAAAGCCAATGTTTGCAAAAGGAAGATATGCCAATAAAATATATTTTATACAAATTTACAGATTCGTCTTTTAAGTCATAAATCGCAATAATCGCCTTATACTGTAATATCGGGATATATCGTATCGTATCGTATCGTGACCTATGTATCGGGATACGTATCGTATCGCCAGATGCCAGGCAATACACACCCCTAACGCTATACAAGCTACGCTATTTATTCAGCTGCGTTTTGAACAAATTTGCAGAAATGTTTTGATAGGAGTGAATAAATAAAGAATGAATTAATTAATTCATTCATTCATATTGTGCAGCGGTGGCTCTCATCCATGAAGCGTCTGCACTGTCTTGTGAATGCACTGAAGCGCTGTACACTTGCGAGAGCGTTTGCGGTCCAGATTTTACAGAGAAACTCTGGAGCCAAAACTTCTGAATGACAGAATTTGAGGAGTTATGTGGCGCGTCTCTCATTGCACCTGCTGTGGATGCACTCCAAAGAGTGCGCAGCGGGCGGACAGGGCATCGGTCCATGCGTTAATGGGGTGTGTGTCTGTGTGAGGCTTACACATATCTAATGAAAACATACATTGCTTTACCAGATGTGAATGAGGAATACAAATAGCTGTGCGTAATTACGCAGCGCAGAGCCTGCCACAGCCATAGATGGGTCACACATCCCTGTCGCGTAAAGTGTATTTGTATAGACCCTTTCACTGTCCAGGATCACAAATCGCTTCACATTTTAAAAACATACAGATCAAAATAATACACAAAGAAGTCAGATTTAAAATCATTGAAGCAGAAGAGGCTCCTCATCATGATCTGTGATTTATTCGAAGTTTGCGTGTTTCCAGAGTGTTGATTGTTGCTGAGAACATGTTTATTGTTGTCCAAATCTTGAGTTTCATGCGTGTTTTGGCGTGTTGTGACGAAGGTTGAAGTGAGCGCACACATTTACACCACCCATTGACTTGGTGTAAATTCTGTGCGTACCGTACGCTCACGTCCAGATTGATAAATGCGGAAAAGTGTACATTTTTTGCGTACGCATCATTTACACCCTGATTTGGCCGTACGCAAGTTTCATACATGAGGCCCATTGCCACTCCCCCGACCCAGAAATTGAATAATAAAGGGGCAGAAAATGAATACATGAATGAATGCAATGAAAAGCTGGGTGACCCCATTTTGGCCTGTAAATGAGTGGTTGATATCTCAAATACTATAGAAGCAGTTATGCGTATGCTAGGAGCCAACTTTACAGAGTATCGTGTGTGTTTGTGTCCACAGGATGTTCCAGACGCAGTGTACCGCATGGTGGAGCTGAGGGTCCTGTCTAACTGGGGTCATGTGCACTACACGTGTGTGTACCGCTTCCGTGTGCATGGACAGCTGGTCTCATCATGATCAACATGATCTGTTTTTGTTTGGGTGCTTAGAACCATCATCTTAATTTTTTTTTATTTATTATAAAGTTAATAAAATCATATATGGCTAGATTATATGCTGAATGCTGAAATAGCTGTATTGTAATTCAATTTGGCGCTAGGAAGTCTGGGGGAGCCCAGCCTGAGCACCCTTAATTAGCATTAAAGATGCTAATGAGAAGACCTTGTCACTTCCTTTTTCTTCCTGTGGAAGGTGTGTCTCATCTCCTCCAATACTGCCTTACAGACGGTTGAGCTTCAGACATGTTTTGGACACGAGGCTGAACTCCGCTGTGCTCTTTCTCTACAGAACTTGTCTCCTTGGAATTCAACCAATAATAAAGAATGCAGAAACTATGCCTTTTGTGTTTGTGAGTGAACTGGAGCAAAAGCCCAGACACATGTGGGACACTTGGCGATGTGTACCTGTACTTTATCAAGACACCATCTTGCTTGCAAGAGTAAGTAAGTAAGTAAGTAAATGTTTATTTATATAGCACATTTTACAGACCAAGGCCAACAAGGCGCTTTACAGTATTCAGAGTTCAGAAAACATTAAAATCTTTAGAAGCCTTTCTCCAGCTTAATCAGGACAAAACTGAGGTTTTAGTCAACGGTCCTGAGGCCCAGAGAGAGAAACATTTACCAAAACTCCAATCACACTCTTTTAACATGTATAACAATAACGCTGTAATAACACCCACCTCCTATTTTTTGTTTTATTTTCATGTGTAAGTAGCATAACATTAGCATATTTTTAGACAGGAGAAACTCAGCTGACCCACGCAGGCAGGTTGAGACAGGTTGGGGGGGCTTGGGAGGTCCTAATTGAAAAGTGTCCTCAGACGAGGAATGCGTGGTGATGTCGTTTCTCTTTAGTTTCAGGTAACAAGGACTGTTTAAATATATTTTTATTTCATTATAACAGAATACACAATCTAAAAGACGTCCTATGTGGTATAACTAATTGAAAAGTGTGCTCACACGAGGAATGTCGTGGTGATGTCGTTTCTCTTGTGTTTCAGTGCTAACGCCAATTAAAAATAAGGATAATCCTAAACACTCTGAACTTTCATTTATCCGACCACAAGTGTTACATATTTTCGGGGCTCGTCCGGGATGGATAAAGCGTTTATGAGTGTTTTCCCAACCGGCGAAGCGGCGCACTGAAACTTCCACGCTCCTGCAGTCTGTCACGCGCATTGGCGAAGGAGGCGCGGCCCCGCGACACGGCAACATGAGTCTCGAGGAGATCGCAGCGCAAGTGTCACAGCAGCTCTAGATGCTGAAACTGGAAGAGCTCAAAGATGTGTGCGTGCGTGCTAAAGTTGACTACAAAAATGCAGCGACCAGACGAGCAGTAGTGAAAGTAATAATGTAGTCAATAGACGACACTATTGAAAATGAAGAAGATGACGTGGCTACACAGTATTTGACTACGTTGCTTAACTTAACCAAAGCAAGCCCAGTTCAGAAAAATGCGTCAGAAATAACAGAAAATCTGGAAAGAACGTCTATAACAACTCAACCACCTATCAATGACACCCAGAGACCAAGTGACATAGTAAGTCAAGTTTCACCACAATATGTGCCTGCTGCTCCTATAAACCCTAGCTTGCCTACCCATAGGCTCCAAGAAGTCACTATAAGGAGAGAATTCAAGATATGTGGCCAGATTGGTGAAAAGGGACAAAAGGATAAACTCGCATTCACAAATCTCATGCACCAGATTGAAAGAGGGTTAGTTAAAGGGCACAGTGAAGATGAAGTGGTTGAGGCTGTGGTCAAGTGGTCTGAGTTTAAGGGACATGCTTGAAGTTAAAAGTAACCTTGCATTATCTCAGTTAAAGACTAGATTAAAGGGTCATTTTAAAGAAGACAGTTCTATGGACTTGTATCACAAGCTGGTGAATGTTACTCAAGACAGCTGCGAATCTCCCCAGAACTTCCTGTTTAGGGCCATAGAACTCAAGGAAAGGCTTTTCCTTGCCTCTAAAGAATCAGGCTCAGATCAATACCAGCCAGAGATTATTCAAAGAAAGTTTTTGAGATCAGTGAGCACAGGAATAAAGAGTGATCACATCAAGTTTCAGCTAAAGCCATATTTAGATGATAATACTGTTACTGATGAGAATCTCATTGAAAAATTGAACAAAGCTGCAAGTGTAGAGTGCGAGCGACAGTCTAAACAGCGCAAACACACAATAAACAGAGCTCCAAAAGTAAATGAGCTACAAGCTGAGGCACCAGCAGAAATGCCTCAAAGTAAAGCCGTTTCTGAAATGAGAGTGCAGGACCAAACTGAAGCCGTCAGACCAAAGACCCGTAAAGCTCCAGCACAACCCAGCTCTCGAGACACTGAGTTGTATGAGGTAGTGCACCTACTAAGAGAGGAGATGGCTGACATAAAGAAAAATCTGCAAAGCCAACGGCAGCACGCTCCAAGTTTAAACCGCACTCAACGTAAAGCATGTGCAGCATGTGAGGAAAGTGGGCTGAGTAGTCAATGTAACCATTGTTTCAAGTGTGGTTTAGGAGGACACTTCTCAAGAGGGTGCAGAGGAAATCGGGGAGCCACTCACAACCCAGGCACGGTCAACGTCAAACCTCACAAGGTGGCGCCAGCATACACGTCAAAGAAACCACCTGAAAGTGAGAGTAAAGTCCAAGAGCTTCTGTTGGAAAGAATCTAACTGCTTGAAGCTCAACTTGAAAACACTAATGTTGTATCTTCTCATCAGCAGAAGATGGGGTTTCCCGCACAAACCAGTATAGTTGTTGGAGAAGGAATGCACTCTGAGTTATGTATTAAAGAAAGAGTTTAATGACATAATCAGAATACATCAAATCCAATTCAGGCTTAGCTTTCAGCCCGGGTCAGCTCCGAGATGGTATGACTGACTGACAAAGAACACACCGCGGACTAGCGTCTTATAGATAGTTGAAGAAGTCATAAGACAGTCACAAGATCCAGAAAGAGCAAACCATACATTTAAGGACAGCCATGCACATTGTCCTAACATTAGTGTTGCTCACACGTCTGCCTCATGACTGAGAAAGGGATCATTAGAGTCAGCTGCTTCTACCATTTTGACCCAGATGTTCCCAACACATTTTGAACATACATGCTGTATATGTAGAATTTATAATAGCAGACGCTACATATTCCCCCTTTTGATCAAGCACATGCTTGATCACTAAATGAAATTATACCTGTCTCCTTGCCGTGAGTATGAGAGCAAAACCAACCTCACATTAACTTATTGGAAAAATTCTCTCATAGCCCCAACATCTCAGTATTAATTTGTCTTCATGTGTTTTCGTTGACGACTACAAACTTTGCACTCACAGCCTTGGAGCTCACATGACTAAAGATCTTCAGTGGGGGGGATTGGATTTAATCCAATCAAAAGTATTCAGCATTGACTCCAATACTCAACTAAATCAACTTCATATTAAACTAAACTATTCCTAAAGTTTAAATCTAGGAATTTAAGAATCACTATCAAACTCTGAGGGAGTTCACTTAATTTAAGTAACAATTTAGTAAGTAACTGTGTCCAATTACAGTCACTCAATTTCAGTATTCTAAATGTAAAATAAAATAAGTATTCTAAAACTATCAATTTAATCAATATGTTTAATCCTTTATCCCCAACACTGAACATCACCTGTAATAGAAAAACACAAAAGAATATAGGATCACACAATATTAATAAGACAAAATCTTCTTCCGTCTTCTTTTGATCTCAGTCCACACTTCCTCCTGATGAATCCAGTCTCTGCATCAGAGCTCTTTAAACCCCTGATTGTCATCAATGTCCAACTGTCCACTGTCCAGTGTCCAGTGTCCATTAATCATCACCATCCTCCTGAAAGCATAGAAAAACCAACCAGTATCTGGAACTCCTACAATTGTATGATCATATCAAGATATAAATGTATATGTGTAATAGATAAAATGTTAATTGTAATGTAATAAATGAAATTAATAGGAATATAATAAGTATAATAACATGATATGTTAAAGTATAATAAAACAAACATACATGAAAAATAAAAGTATTAAAATTGGTTAATAACAGGGTATTCCCCCTTTGGATTCAACACCTCTGTTTAATCCTACATATGTCAGTCCATGTGTCCCAGTCAATAGTAACTATTTAAGTCAAGTATTTACCAATTCTAGTGTAACCTGTGTTCAAATTATCCTTCTGTAATTGTCAAAGCATCAATAACATCAGTCCTATTGTCATAATTGTCTCAATCTTAATCTTAATCTATTGTCAAAATTGGAATTAATGTATAACAAACTTCACCTGAGTCCAAAGCTATGCTCAGATAAACCTCCTTGCTTAGTTAAATATAATAAACTGTGTTATGTTTCAACTGTGTTAACTAATAAAAATGCTAAACCCCAAAGTATCTATTTTGTATTATCAATATTGTCATTCAGAAAAATAACTTCATACCATGTGCGTAATCTAATTCCTCATTTGAAATAAACACTGTAAATGTTAAATAGTCAACCCATAGTCAAATTGTCAAAAGTCTAAAGTCAAAATCAAACAAGTCATTTTCAACCAAGTAAAAGTCAAAAGTCTCATCAGTCATTGTCACCTTAAATGCTCCAGAAATACTATCATTAATCCAAACACAAGGCCTCTGTGTAAGATCACATACAGTCATCTGTAACTTCTAATGTGATAATACTGAAAAATAAAAGTAAAAGTCCTTCAGTGACTCCCTTTGAAGTCACTCTCCTCATAGTATCAGCTCATCAGTAAAGTCTCCATAGATTCTATCGTCAGATAAATCATACAGTAGGTCCCATTCCGTTTTGTCGTCTTCATTCACGCTTCTCGGGAATCACGCAGCTGCGTGAAAAATAGTACAGCTTATCGCCACAAGGTGGCAGGCTAAGTCCGCTTTAGCTCTGCCAGCGACTTAGACGCTCAGGTATAATACTGCGTGCAAACC